TCCATCTCGGCTTCTTTACGTTGTTTACATAGATCAGAGCAGTCAGAGTCCCACCAGGGAAGTGATGGGATTTTACCCCTAGAAGCGTTTTTAGTAGGAATCGCTGTCTCTGCTGCTGAAAGTAAAGCATTCCTAAAGATGGAGTAAGCAGCATGGGTGTTCTCATGGGGGACTGGGGAAAGATGAACCAAAAGAGCGTCAACAGACTGAGAGAACAGGGTCCAGTCCGCCTTAGACAAATTAAATTTAAGTCGAGGGTTGCGAGGAGGAAGTATATAATTAGAGGAGTCAGGAAAGGACATAAGGATGGGGAAATGATCACTACCATGCGTATTGCACAGCGTAAGCCATGTGAGGCGCGAAGAGGTGGCTGGAGTGCATAGAGAAAGGTCTACAGCGGATTTTGGGTTCTGGCCAGGAAGAACTCTACGTGTGGGGGAGCCGTCATTGAGGATGCAGAGGTTGTGGTCATCAACTAGGTCAAGGAAGGCGGAGGATAGGGAATCATTCTGATAACAACCCCATGAACTGTGGTGGATGTTAAAGTCACCCAATACAGCAACAGGAGGGGGGAGGGCACCAATGATTGAGAATAGATTTGTTAGGATGGACATGTTAGGATCAGGTATATAAACGGATAAAAAAGATATATCTAAGGCTCTAACAGCCACTACATTGAAGCAGTTACTGTCATGTGGAGGGAGGGTGATCTGGGAATATGGGATGGATCTCGAAACTAAAATGCAGCTACCGCATTTTCCGTTGTTCTTATCATCCCGGAGGCACGCAAAACCAGGAACCCTGAAGCGGGAGCCCGGGAGTAGGCGTGACTCCTGGACAGCAAAAGTCAAGGGGTTATGCTTATATATGAGAAAAATCAGTTCAGCTTTTTTTAATCTAATGCTGCGACAATTCCACTGTAGGATTGTTGGGAACATTGTTGAAAATCGAAATCAGCTGAATCAGTTTTTGATAGACGTTGTTCGGTAGGGCAATATATTTTTTTTTTTAATTGCTTTTATGGATGGACGAGCTCACAGCCCACCTGCTGTTAAGTGGTTACTGGAGCCCATAGACATCTACAACGTAAATGCGCCACCCACCTTGAGATATAAGTTGTAAGGTCTCAGTATAGTTACAACGGCTGCCCCACCCTTCAAACCGAAACGCATTATTGCTTCACGGCAGAAATAGGGAGGGCGGTGGTACCTACCCGCGCGGACTCATAACAGGTCCTACCACCAGTAGTCATTCATTTTCGAAATGATGTTGATGAGGGTGGACAAGAGAAGTTTTAGTAGATTTTCTTGTTGAGGGGGGTTGGGGGATAACAGAGCGCATCCATTGGGGGTGGTGGAGGCTGGAGTATATACGACAGTGGGCTTCTCTATCGTAGCCTGGGCTTAGGGCAGCAGAATAAGGGCGTGGGGCTATATTAACAGTCTTATAAGAAGAGGACTGAGAATTGGAATGGAGTGGCTGAGAGAGATCAGTGTGAATTGTCGGAGGATACATGGACGGAAATGATTGAGTCATTCGGGCAGTATCTGCAAATGATCTTCTCATCTGTGAGAACCTAGCCGATGCTTCTAAATATGAGATGCTTTCCTGTGACATAACTAATTTGATCGATTTTTGTCGACTGTGCTCTGGGCAGGATGTGTCAGTGGCAGAGTGGGGGCCGGAACAGAACAGGCATAGAGGGGATGACTTCGAGCAGGTAATTCCTTCGTGGGGTTGGGAGCAAATAAAGCAGCGAGGGGCGGATCGGCACTGCGTTGAAATATGGCCGAATCGGCAGCACTTGTTGCACTGGATAATGGGAAGGACATAAACTTCAACTGGGAGAGAAGTAAAAAAGCAGAAAATCCGATTTGGAAGTTTTTGACCAGAGAAAGTTAAAACTACAGATTGGGTAGGTATCCAAGTAGGGACATTATTTTCTATTTTCTTCCTATTCAAGCGGCGTGCTTTAATGACTGCACCGCAGCCAGCAGGAACTTCTACCGATTGGACCAGCTCCTCTAAAGTCCATTCTACTGGAACATCACGCACAATTCCCATTCGTGTAACATTATAAGATGGGATGTTCGCTTCAAATTTAGCCGGCTGAAGTGCTGGGTGTTCTAGAAAAGCTTTAGCCGCAGCAGCAGATTTAAATTCCACTGAAACCCTGTTGCGGCCAATGCGTTTCACACCATCCTGTATTACATTTTTTATGCTGTTTCTGAATAGAAAGTGTCCGAATTTGATGGGTTTCAAGGTGGGACCAGCAGACACATCTTACCGTCTTACTAACGTGAACTAGAAAAGGGGCAATGTCATCTTCACAGTATCGGGTCTTACGTTCAACAAAATCGGGATGTGTGTAAGTAGACTGAATCGACGGAGATTAGTAATCGTTTTTTTAGGGGGAATGTTTTCGTCAGACTGTGGTGGTCGTTTTCTAGAATTGGGTGGATCAATATCCATCTGAGAAGAAAAGTTTTGTGAGTGGGGCGCACGTGGTCCTTTATAACCTCCCCCGGGATCGTGCGGGTCATCCATGATTCTTACCTTTTAATAATATAACAAACACAATATATTTACACTCACGGCACAACAGATATATACCAACACCAACACGAATCAGTAGCGCAAGTCAACAGCAATTTAAACGAATATTATCAATTAAAACACCGGGAAACAGCAGCAACACCAAACAAAAGACTACAAAAGTACACATTTGTCTTCCTAAGATCGTAGGTACCTAGAGTCTTGAGTTTATCTGTGATTACGGCGCTTATTACAGCCTTGAAATATCAGTAACTCGGTAAATGTGAAAATTGTGTTACACACCTGTTAAATAATAGTGTGAGCCAGCCTTTTTTTTATTAATTAGATGTGTGGTCGAGCTCACAGCCCACCTGATGTTAAGTGGTTACTGGAGCCCATAGACATCTACAAGGTAAATGAGCCACCCATCTTGAGATATAAGCTCTTCTCAGTATAGTTAAGCGGCTGTCCCACCCTTCAAACCGAAACGCATTACTGCTTCACCGCAGAAATGGGCAGGGCGGTGGTACCTACCCGTGCGGACTCGCAAGAGGCCCTACCACCAGTCCTTTTTGTGTCACAGAAATTCTCAGGTGGTATTTTTAAAACCAATGCCATTGTTAGCTAACCTAGTTTAGTCGTCATTTAATTTTATTGTATAGACGAGTGAAAGAGTTCTTCATCCACCTGGTGATATTTTGAACCCATATAGACATCGCAACATGAATATTCACTTTCATCATGATCACTACATCGATCACTATCGATTGTAGTGCATAATGGCGATGCCATCAAACATTTGATTTGATTTGATTTGAAACCCTCGCAACATAGCTGCCTTTGGGCGGTTGTTAGCAAACTTCACCTTCCTAGCTGAGATCGACTGAAAAACTTATTAATTTTTCTGGGAAATGGCAAACTGCAGTATCGAGCAAATGCTATTGGTGAAAACGCCTTTTTCGAAACTTGTCGATTACGACGAAGAGTTCGGCGAGCGAACTAACCCAAAGACGCAGCCCACCGAGTTTCTCGCCAGATCTCAGAGTACAATCCGGTGGCAAATTCTGCGAAGTACTGCCTTTGCTAGGGTTAGTATTAGCAAATTCTTTCAAGTAGAGCCTGTGGGCTCACCTACGTCTCACGTCCGTAAGGTACCGGAATACACTTAGGATATCGGCAAATATGTAAGGAAAAAACAGGTGAAGAAGCTTGTCTCGCGAATATGTTAGTGCGATTCAGGACCTTTTACAAACTATATACTACTACTATACTTTGTATAGTATACATGATAGCTACCACCACAAATACATTCCATATACAGCAGTAGAATTTTAACTTGGTTTCGCTTTATTTTATTCCTTTAGGAGGCAGACGAGCTTACAGCTTATCTAATGGCGAAAAGTTACCGTTGTTGCTCTCATAGTAGTTCTGGTGCAGCCACTGCGAAACTTTCTCTAATTCTTACGCGGAGGTTTATTTCGATGTGTTGTGTCAGTTACGTGTTCTGCTCTAAGAACTAAATAGTCGTTATTCCGTTGTAACTGAGACAGTGAGTCAATGAAGTGGATCTGAACGAGAGTGAGTGTGGTGGTACTATCATGTATCATATTATGTCAGGAAGACCATGAGTTCTGGGGCTCATGTAATCTAATAGCTTATATAATTTTATTTCAGTATTCATTAGTGCCTAAGATGGTAAACATTATGTACCTTCAATAAAATGCATTATGAGACCAAGTTTTAAAAGCTTATAATTACATTTAAATAGACTTTAAAGAGCCGTATAATTTAAAAGTTAACGATCATCCAATGTTTTGTCTCTGGTGATTACTGAATCATCGAACTTGACCATGTATGTTGTTCCCTTGTGCCAGTGTGCTGTCACCTTTGCTGGCTGGAATATAAGTTTCAAAATTAGCTTGAGTTTGTGCTGTTCTTAAAATCACAGATTATCATATGGAAAAACTAATCAAATTTATTTGTATTTAGATTTTTGTTTTCTCTAATCACCTATTATTTTGTGTATACTGTGACATTGACAAAATCAATGCCTAGAGTTGAAGAACTTTTTTTTTATAAAAAAAAATACTCATTGTACAATTTGTTTTAACAGTTACTCAATTCTTCTAATGCTACACGCGACTGCTTCGTAAACTACTATCTACTTGAAATTGAATTTAACAAAATTAAGTTTTAAACTTACAAATCCGCTCCTAGTTAAAACAGCTTCAATGATGCCAGCATTGAAGATGGCACAGTTTAATGAACCCTTGTCTTTTGGTACACTTATAAACTTGTTTACCTGCAATTCCAATGAAAACAGTGTATAGACTTTTCATGATTTTTTTTTATGGATTGGATGATGGACAGTTTAGTTAAGAACCTAAGTTTTTTGCTTATAAAAGTCTTTTGTATCAGAATGTATTTAAGTACCAGAAACATAATAGTTGATTCAAATTAAAAAAAATTGGCCAAATTATTTTGAAGTTATTGTAACATAAAAAAAAAAAATGTATAACATATCTTACAAGAGCATCTTTTTCGATAATATAGTAGGTCCTTTCATCATCATTAGCATGTTCCAGTTTATCAGCTTCTTTACCAAAAAGCACCTGCAAATAAACTTAATTTAGTCAATGCTACTTCATGTATTTTTCATCTTGTATGTTGTAGATGTTACGTTGGATTGTATTGATTGTATTGCACCAACATAGTAGATTTTGTGCCAGAGTTTACAGGTTTAAGTTATGTCCACTATGTATAATTTTTCTGATCTTAACATTTAGTCTTCTATAGTTAGCAATGAATGCATCCTGTTGTCTTAGATCAGCACCAACCTTTCCACAACCATCCAAATATACATAATCATTATGATCATCATCGACATCCTATTCAAGAATGTGAATTTTGTCGCCCTCAAAACATTTAATACTTATTTTAATGGACTCATTATTTCACACAGTAAAGGTAGGTTGATTTATGACAGGCGTTTGCAAAGTAGTGGTAAGAACTCATATGTGAATATCACAATCAGGGAGAAAGGTGTAGAAAAATTATGCATAATTTGTTCTTCTACTTGGAAATGCAACAGATTATCATGATTTTCTGTGAAAAGCCTGCTCATGGTTCAGGAAGTGATAGAAGACTATAAAATACTAAAATACTACATTATTTAAAGGGCACATCTAGCTGAAGATAAAATTCAAACATCTCTTCAGCTAACCTTCCATAAAGTAGACTTGATAAACAGTAACATATTCAGCAGTTTTATCTCACGTTTGCTATTTCTCTCTCTCACGAAATATAAGTCGAGCAGTCTCGTGCCCACATCTTGTCCGATTTCAGACAATCTGGAAATTAAACTAAGTTAATAATAACAGTAATAAATTCACCAATTGTTTCAGTACATACATCTTCTATTATCTTACACTGAATTTTAGTCAACGTTTCGTTTTGTCACATAATTAACACAATATATAGAATTAAGTTATAATTAGGCGGTTTACTCAGTGGCAAATTTATTTTGATTTTGATTTTACAATTAACTACCTACATCTAAATGCGCAGAAATCTTAATTGAATATAATTTTGTTTTTTTATTAAACTTACTTAAACTGTAGATCTTGTATCGAATGCGATCGATTCTGACTATACTGAACAATTTCAGAAAATAAAAGGGCATAAAAGGCTAAAGAGACCTCCCCTTTTCCTTTTCGTAATGGTTTATCTAATATTGATGATTTCGAACGGCTGGAGGACATGTTCATTGATGTGGTTTTCTAATGAGGATATTCGTTTAGATTTATTGACAAAATAGTTCAAGTATGTACTTATATAGTGAGACTTAAAATTTGATATTTAGAATTCAGATAATAATTTATTTTATTAATACTATTAATAATAAGAAACAGAAACTTGGTCTAATCCTCTAATATATTAAGTGTATAATCTATGGTCTAATCATAGACCTTTAAAGTAGGTCTATATATTAAGTGTATAATCTATGGTAGGTCTAATGCGTTTCTGAGACGCTTTAACTGTCAAGTGTCAAATGTCAAACGTCAGTAGAAAAGGAGCGTAGACCTTAAAAGGAGTAGGTAGGTACCGGTAAAATGGGGCGATTAGGGATTGAAAGGCGAAACGGGAAAAAACCGGGAAAATCTTTCGACGCTCAATATGTTTTATATTCGTTGAAAAATCTTCCATTTTTTTGTAGTTTAATAGTAGAATGTTGAAAGTTCACAAAACAACTCTGAATATGCATGATAATAGCTGCTAATTATAAAAAATCGCGTTTCAAATAAACTTTCTGTGGTGGTAATTATTTTAGTGCTAGAAACTTTGCTCTCTTTTATTTATTTGATCATAATAGAAGACGACTATGATTTATAAACGTTATTTAGTGTTTGAACCAGCATATATATTAAAGGTAAGTCTCAGTTGTTATTGGTTTTAATGTATTTGATTAAATAAAAATACATGTAAAAATCTGTTGTTTTTGGGGATATTGGGGACGTGTTAGGTACAAATAACAACGAAAAAGGGGTCAATTGGGATGAGAATACGTGAAATGGAAACGACCTAAGTATAAATAGGTACAGGTTTGTAGGGTTGTCTATGTAGTTATAACAATATTTTTTAAATTTGTTGGTAAAAATCTGGTTTATTCGAAGCGAAATTGGGAATAAGTCTTTAGTTGAAATAGATAAGCAATTTAATATAAGTAAGTCGATTTTGCAGAGACATGTAACAAGATCAATGAAATCTCAAGGTGGACAAAAATGTCTAAGTAATACATAATAAAATATTTAATATTTGTTCAGAGTGGGGGTATTCATCTGATTAATCCATGGAATAACCGACACACCTAATCTCTTAACCCAGATAGAAATATCAGCACTGTCGATTGCACCTATAATTGAGGTGATGTCTGCCATGTACTTTTGTCAGTTTTTCAATTTTTTTTATTGATGATCACTTTGTTGGTGCAACTAAATAAATAAATAAATTAAAACTATATATAAAAATAAAAGTAGTGCCAACCCTAGCAAATTTCTCATTTCGTCCCAATTAACCGCAATTTTCGGGTAAATAGGGATTACACCTATTTTTGCATTTTTTGCTTAAACTGGAATGCTAGTTGCATAATTTTAAATTAGACAACAAAGATGCCCCCAAGACTCAATCATTTTGATCCTGATATAGCATTATATACATCAACAACTACCTTAAAACTGCTCATAAAGTTGGAATTTGTCCCTAATCGCCCCATTTTACGGTACATACGGTATGTTTTTCTTGTTTGACCAATTTACAAACATTGTTTCAGTCCTTGTTTTGCAATATGTGGGTGGACGACCAAAGACTTCACACACGATATTATGTTACCGAAATGCATAGCTGGAGGCTTGAGTGCGTCGACTTATTTATTTTGTAAAACAGCAATCTACTAACTAATGACAGTTTCGGGGGAGAAATAAGTTCGTGGTGACTACTTCTAGAGGATCATAATACTCCCTAGAATATCACCATTTAACAATTCTGTAAATTTGGCCACATCATAAGCTGATTTTAAGTTTATACCTATAGAAGTTGCTAGCAGTATTTACTATCGCATAGCTGTGGTAGTAAAGATCACCAAGGTAAACATAAACGTTTTAATAGAAATAAAATATTTAAAATTAAAATAACGGACTTTTTAGAGATAAGGAAAACCGTCTCATATGGGAGAAACTTGAAAAAGTATCCCACTTTCAGCACTACTTATCAGTTCAAAAATCCTCCAGAATAGCGCTAGCATAGGCACAGGGTATGATATAAATTGAGCAGTTGTTATCTGAAGTATGCTGAGTTAGAAAATTTAATATATTTAATGACTAGAGTAGTTAGTGACAGTGTAATATACAAGACCTTACATGTTTACGTATTCCAAACTAATTTCGTCAAAATTATTTTTCGTTAAGTACAGTTTCACGTGTAATTTAATACTTTTGTAATGCATGCATTAATTTCATGCATGCAATTAGGTTCGTGCCCTGCGCGATTTTTTGGTGAAATTAGTGTCATGCAACTAATTTCATAGTGTAGACGCGACGTGGAACTAATGTCGCGAAAGGGCCTGCGCTGTGCGGACGTGTGTATTTTTAGTTCAGACGTGCTTCAAGCGTTGAAAATTACAAACCAACGATGGAGTACAGAAAAAAAAAAGATCTTATTAATGAATATCAGCGACAAGGGTGTCTCTGGGATCCGAAACACCTACAGTAAAAAAGCAAAATAATCTTCACTCATTAGAAAATAGTTTTTATAACTCTCAGGATCTTCATCTGCTAATTCAGAGACTACCTTCATTGCACCTAAATGCCTTCTTGTTAACCATCCTCGAATCTACCAACGTCTTTTTTTTCTAGATAGTCTTTTTTTAAGTTTATAGGTATATGAGCATTTCTTTAGCTACATTGAATAGAGCAAAATATAGCTTTGATGCTGAAGGCGCCATGGTTACTGCGATACTGTGGATTTCGCGACACTAATTTTTTAACGAAATTACTTTCGCATATATCGAAACTACTTTCGTGAAACTGAGTTCAACATGCATGACACTAATTTCGTAAAATAAATTCCGCTTTATTATTCGTTAAAATTATTCCTGTGGTAAAACGTGGAGACATCGATTGCATTTTCCAGCTTTAAATAAAATACTTTTTGTGATTTTGTAGTGCTTACAGTTCTTTATTCTTTTCTATTTTTCTATCTTTTTCTAATAACTTTGAGCGCCTTTTTTTTTAATTTACCCGGTTCGTAATGTAGCGCCACCCTTATTTTTTTAAATTTTAACGGACACTTTTTCACACACAGAGACGTTTCTCCTTACCTCTACCCTCCATAGCACAGAACACTATTACTTCTAGCGACTCCATAGTCTCAAGGCTTTCACACTGAACACACTTAAAGTCATCTTGGCATAAAGGTTAAGACGTCCGGTGCATTCGCATCTAGCGATGCAACGGTGTTCGAATCCCGCAGGCAGGTACAAATTTTTGTAATGAAATACGTACCTACTTATGAAATGTTCACGATTGACTTCCACGGTGAAGGAATAACATCGTGTAATAAAAATCCAACCCGCAAAATTATAATTTGCGTAATTACTGGTGGTGGTGGATGGTGATTCTTACGGGTAGGTACCACCACCCTACTTATTATTGCCCTGAAGCAGTAATGCGTTTCGTTTTGAAGGGTGGGGCAGCCGTTGTAACTATACTGAAACATTAGAACTTATATCTGAAGGTGGGTGGCGCATTTACGTTGTAGATTTCTATGGACTTCAGTGACCACTTAACAACCAGGTGGGCTGTGAGCTCATCCACTGACCTAAGCAATAAATAAAAAAAGAAAATAATATGTACTTTTTTTCGTGTGCTATGTCTATTGAGTAATTTTTAAGTAAAACTATTTTCGTATTATTCTTTTGTTATCTTTTTACTGATTCATGAAGCTGCCTTCTTATCAGTTTATGAGTTTTTTGCCTTTCGATTTAAATAATATACACAAAACACAGCTTAAAAAGGGTTATAATTGTAATTCAATTAAATAAAATGACTAGCAAATAAAGCTTTGACTCTTGCCAGGTACAATGTTTAAAGAACTAATAAATACTAATTCAACATATCCCTGATTTCGAAACTTTCTCCTCATTTTGAGAAAACGTAACGGCTGGATCTATTTAGATACCTTTTTTTTTTAATGTTAAGTTAGCTGTTATTTTATTATTATTCATTGTCGGCTTTAGCAATGAAAACGGTCCGTTTACGCCCTGTACAATTATTCCAACAGTCACCGCACAAATTGTAAACAGTAATTATCTCTAATATGTGTGAGCACACATTGACTCGTAACTGACCGTGTTTCCTGTGTGCTGTTTGTTTTCAATGCTTCACCTAGAAAAGTATATAATCAGTATATTTTTGTAATTATAAGTACCTAACATTCTACGTTATGACTGTGCAGTATTCGAGACAATGGTTTATGTAAATATCTATTATGTTTACGAAAACTTCAAATGTTACATTAAGTAGGTAGATAATTTTATGTTCACATTTGGTTGAAGTTGAAAGTTGAAGATGAAAGGCGATTGCATGCAGATGGTATGAATATGTGATGAGATAAAATGAAAATGAAGTTGGTAAGAGAGTGTTAACTATGAATGTGCAAGGATATAGAGGAAGAGGTAGACTAAGAAGAAATGGATGGATTGCGTGAAAGACGATATGTGTAAAGAGGGGAGTGCGCGAAGAAATGGTATATGATAGAGGAGTATGGAAGGAGAAAACATGTTGCGCCGACCCCGGGTGACTGGGAAAAGGGCAGGAGAATGACGATGATTTGGTTGAAGTTTAGTATCTACTATTTTGCGACGTAGTTGAATGGATGATTTCCAGGCCATGCTTGCTATAACGGCTATCATACGTTCCATCGCTATCCCAGACAGAGGTCGGCAAAGTGCGGCTCTTTGAACTCTTGAGTGTGGCTCTGGCACAAATATCGTACAGGCTTGCCCGGCCTCAAATATTATCCGGCTGTGGACGAAAAAGCCGGTTAATAGTATGTACGGTCATTTAATATCAGCACCCATGACTGATGTCGATTATTATATATATTAATCGAAGCAGTATATAATATAGCTTTTACTTTATGATTTGCAATAATAAATGTTTACTACATTTACAAACAGATTTGGCTCTTAATTTTTTTAAGTCGTTTTAATTTGCATATTTGACTCTTTAGCTAATAAGGTTGTCGACCACTGCGGCAATCCCATCAATAAGATTCTTTCACGATAGAAATAGGGATAAAGAAAATTACGCTTGTCAACCCTATATGGATACACTACAAAAAAGGTTTACTTACAGTAAAGTG